GTTTGTAGACTTCTGCTTAGCCAGCGTTTCTTTTAGGTTAGCATTAAATTACCACCTGTTGCTTTATAGGTCATTCAAATCCCATAATGTTGCCAGATGATCTGTCCTTCAGGTAATGGCTGGCTTGGAGTTTATGCCTAATGTCAATAGGCAAGAGGTGATTACCAACCTATTGCAGCATTAGCATTAGCAATGCAAGAGATAGGCATTGGTCATTTTAGAGTTACCAATTTACCTGATGTGTTTATCCAGAGGAAGCCAGAGTCCCTGGATAGAATCCACACAGACACAAAGAGAACATGCAAACTTGCATTGCTGTGAGATGATGATGCTGTGCTGACCCTACAATGTACCATCTACACACATATATTATGCCTAAATCTGAAATGGAAATGATCGCACATGTTTTAATTTCATCATAGCTTGATTATTGTAATTCGTTGTTGCTGTGCCTTAGCAAACGTTCACACTGGATCACTTTCATTTGTTTCACAATTGTGCTGCAGTGCACAATTCTGAAACAACTATAAAGTTTAAGATTCAGGTTTTGGTGAACACTTAAGAGCTCTTCGTGGTCTGTTGCCTCCTTGTATTAATGAACTTCTACATGCATATGCAACTTCAAGGTCTCTGGGGTTAGCTGATCCGTGCTTGTTGGTGGTACCTTGGACCTTCAAAGTTGTGAAACTCACTTCCATTGGTTTTAAGTGGACGCTGTTGATGACTTAAATGAAGAAATTCTATCCATTTATATAGTTTTGATTGATGTATCTTATTTTTATTGTACAGCACTTTGTGACCTTTGTTCTTGAGAAGCAAGAATATCCTTTTATTGTCATTGTACATGTACAAAGAAATTGTGGATTTTCCTTAGATTTTCTCCCTAGGCTCTTCATCCATATGTCAATGACATGGTGTTAGCTTCATATCTCCTTGAAACTAACTCGCTGTCAGTTTCATGGGGAAAGATGGAAAGGCAGAGATTTCTGCTGAGATGTCTCTAAAGCACCTGGACATATCACTCTCTTTCAGCGGGACCATCAAGCCTCCGGGGCTCTCCGAGATGCCACCGGGTGTGTTGATTGATTCCTCCCTCAGAGATTAATCTAGACATTGACTGTGGAGTGTGAGTGTTAGAGTGTGTCCGGGTGTTTTAAGTCTTAGAGAGAGAGAGAGAGAGGGATGCTGTGTCTGATAGAGACAGAGCCAGTGGGCTTGGTGATCTACACTCTGTTTAGATCCTCATTTCCCAGAGTTCATAGCTCTCCCCCATCAACCTGCAGGCAGAGAGCCAAGCTTTTGCTCTCTTCTCCATGGTGGTCTAATTCATCCTCACTTAGGAAAGGTAAAGGCAGCCTCTGTCTTTCTCAACAGGTCTAAAGGCAACACTCCCCCACACACTTTGCTTTGATCCTGCCTTTTTTGTTTGTTTTATCTTTGATTTATTATCTGATTATTTTTTTTATTTATGTACTGGAAAATATAAAAAAGAGCTTCAGTCTCTGAAGAATTTCCTTAAGCAAAGGTTAAGTAGTTCAAAATGAAGCAAAGGGAAGAAAACAACCTTATTACAAGACATGTGCAACCACCCACGTTCAAGTAGGCTTACACACACACGCGCGCGCATGCACACACACATTCAGGACTGCATGCACAGTTGCACTCCCACACACACTGTTGCAGTCTCTCATTTGAAAGCAGAGGAGCCTCTGCCTAACAGTTGCACAGTTTAAATAAGCCAGATTCTAAATAAAGTGTCTGTCTTTCTCCTAAGCAGATGGTAATGAAATTAGGCCTTCTTTCTTTTTTTTTTAAGTCATTCCATTCTGGGTAAGTAGTGTATAGGTGCAGCTGGGACAGGTGTGTGGGTAAAACAGTGCCAGGGGCGTAATGCATATTTCTACTTCACTGTATCCAGCTGTGCATTCGTAGTTCTGGCAGATATGAACTGCAGTGACACGCACAGATGGACGTTCACAACTCATGAAAAATCTGGCTGGATTTGTGTCAAGGGGGTAGAATTAAGTGATGGTAATAGCAATAGATTTTAATACTGGTGACAAATGACCAAATATTGCTGATAGGCCCCACTTGCATTTAGTCCAACTTCTTTCCCCCATAGTGAAAGAACTGGATATCATAAAGCTTAAGAGATGATAAAATATTGCTAGTATTCTGCATTCATTTCCCAGCTAATTATTGTTCGCAGGATTTATTAGGTTATTGGTGAGTATAGAGGCAATGCTATTATGCCTAACTGGAGATGGACACAGTTGGAGTCAGTGTTTGCGCATTGCTTGATTCATATACATCTGCACTGTTTATAGAGCTGCCAAGTTTACTGCCTTGAATAAGCAATGGTAAGCAAACACATGATTTCATAACAGCTATTACTGTATGGTAGGATCAGCAACAAAAATAGTCGAGCTCTATTGATTGCTGGACTTATTATTTCAAAAGAAAAGAAAAGAAAACTGTCTGTGTTCTTTGTTCATTTTTTGACTCGTTGGAGTTTTATTAAGAGCTTGATGTTACCTGGAGCTGGGGTGCAACCTCAGCGTTGTCCTGTTTCTTCTATATTCTTTTATCTGTTCAAAAGATGCACTTATGTTGACTGTAATTCATCCCACACCTTTGCCCAGTTATTACTGCAAAACTGTTGAATAAAATTGTAGTTTTGTTTTTTTGTTTAAGTTCTGGTAAAAGTCCTGACAGAACTGTGAGAAGCAGTCTCCTTTGGAAGGCCAGATGGGGTACATTACAGCAGTATATCATCTGCTTTTGATAAGATCTTTTTTTTTTCCACTGTTCTCTGTAGAGTGAAATTACTTGACCTTGCTGTAATTTAACGGTGAAAAGAAAGAAAGCAACCACTCTAATGTGCAGCATGGCTCTTAATCAGATGAGTTCTTACTTCATTTTATCATTAGAAGAGTCTGTTTTTGCTGGTTGCTGGTTTGTTTTACTAGGTTATAACACAGTCATAGCAGCTAATAATAATAATAATAATAATAATAAATATGAATGAAATATACATCAAACAAAACTTAGGCCACAAGTAGTGAAATGCTGCCCATCTTGTGCACTTTTCCTTCTTTGTAATTAGAGAGTTGTTGTATGCCACATTAGAGGCTTTAGTGACAAATGACTTAACGAGCTACACAGGGAGTCCTAATTATTCTGCAATTAGAAATGTAATTATGGGTTGCTCGAACAGTTTGCTTGCTAGCAGTGTGAGGGAGCAGAGGCAGAGCGAGTATCACATTTAACCGTTTGATAATCTGTCACACACGGAGAGGTAGACAGTGCCCCAATCTTTAAACCTGTGGCCTAACCTGGCCCTGTAATCCATCAGTGCACAGGTAAACTAGATTTTAAAAAAGCCCTGGCCTAATGAGATAGATTCATAACGCAGGATTAAATACCGCGTATGCATAGATGTGCACATATATTTATAATCATAATGTCTCCAAACCTTCCAGGAAGTTGCAGTGACATAATGGAGAGGTAATAGGTTGAAACTGGATTTCTCTGAGCCTGTCTATGTTATTCAATAAGCAAATCTACATTAGACACTACATTATCATGTTAATCAGGTAATGAGGTTCAACATGTAGCTTCTAGTTAAATAGTAATGGAAATGTAGAGAAGCAGGGATCTTATTATAGTCTTTTCCTGTTTTACAAAACAAGCTCTTCTACACTGTTTCTGAGAGCGGTCCTTTGGCGTTCTTGGTAGAGAGAGAAGGTCATAGGGCAGAATGCATTAAACCACCACATTTAGCAGCTGCAAGAGAGTGTCTGGTCTCGTTTTCACTTTGTGAGTTTGTCTGTGAGTGTTTTATAAGGGCAGAGTTTTGGTGTGAATACTATAACCAGAGGTACTGCAAAAGCATTTGAGTGTACTTTGACTGGTATTTATATGTATATCAGTCGAAGGGCAGATTTTGTCCACATGCCTCAAAGCGTGCAGGCTACAGTTACAAGTTTCCTGGTGAGTAGATGACACTATAATGAAGCCAGAACGTAAAGATGGGTATGAACTCACTGGTGTATCTGCTCGTGTGATGCATTTTAAGGCAATCCATCCAATCTCTTGTTCTTTTCCAATTCAGGGTTGCAGGGGTTATCCCAGGTGTCATAGGGCAAAAGGTTGGGTACACCCTTGACAGGTTGTCAACCATTCACACCCACATTTACACCTAGGGCCAATTTATAATCACAATTTAACTTAACCCCACTAATGGCATGTCTTTGGATGTGGGAAGAAGCAAGAGTACCTGGAGAGAACGCACGCAGACATGGGGAGAACATGCAAACTCCACACAGGCCCACAGCTGTCATCTTATATGTTAGTATACATTTTGAATTGTTCAGCCAGCTGAAATTCCCCTGGTTCCCTTATTGCACTGTTAGAGCATTCCTGCTGCCTCAAAGCAAATTAAATGCAAATTACATGAGCGGGCTGTTCATCCTTTCAGGGTCAGTGTTTGTGTTTGTGCCATGCTCGCAGGCAGTGCTGGGGCCAATGCACTACAGTACTAGTTGTAGTGAGTAACTCGTGCCAGTGATGGCAGATGAGGGCTAAGAGGGTATAGCCCTACAAACCCCACCCTGAGCTCTGGATGACCTGCCAGCCTGGCAACCTTACTGCCCCATGTACCGTTCCAGGGCTCAGCCTCTTTGAAAGCTGTGGGTTGTAGTTTAAATTCCCGTACATGTTTGTAAGACCTGTGAGAGGCAAACAGTTTGTGTTTCACAAGCTGCTTAAAGGGAGATTTATTATGAATCTTTCCAGTGTCGTAAACCTGGTTAAAACATCAACATGATTAAAGAACAGTTTGAGACTTTAGGACAGGAGCATCGCCCTGTCCAACCCTGGAATTTTTTTCTTCACTCCTCTCTTGGATCTCAGTTTTTTCTGTAAATACTTGAAATTATATTTAGCAGTTGCATCATTTTTGAGTAGCAAACCTAAAAAGAAACTCTTGACTCCAACAGTTTTTGGGATCAGACTTTTAATTGGACTTAAATTCACATAAATAACATTGGTTCATATATATTTTGTATAATATACAACTTTATATAATATATATTTCCCCCTATGATTTACATTCCTCTCTGACTAAAAGTATATCTGTTATATCTATGGAAACAGGAAGCATTGCAGGAAGGCAAAACTGCTCTTTTTGTGCTGTTTCAGTTTTCTTCTCTCTTTTTTTTTTAAATTAAGGTCCAAATGTCAAAAGGAGAGGAGTGCCTTTCTTTTGAGTTGTAAAAAACCAAAACCAAAAACCAAAAAACATTTTCCAAGTTACACAAACAGAAAAGCAGAAAGGAGAATCTATTGCATTGTCTCTAGGGTATTACACTGCACTACAAGGAGTGGGTAGCTATTGAAAATCATTCACCGTATATATTTTACTGTATTGACTTGTGACACAAAAAAAGAGCACTGCAGATGATCTGATATGCATGGCAATGAACATTTTCTGTATGCTTTCGAAGTTTTTTTTCCCCCCCATTGTAAAAAATAAAAATAAAAATTGAGAATATGTTTGACTCGACAGGAAACCCTATCTCGAAGATAAGGACAGAGTTACAGCATGAACCTGCGGCAAGGTCACATATTCATGCAGTGACCAAGCCGAGCACACTTGCACAGATGACTTGAGCTTGTCGGTCCAGATCACAAATCAACACTGTTCGGCTGCTGCGACCGACATTATTCAGCAAGATGAATGGATATCTGGAAGTCAGGAAACGTTCGGTAAGCTCCCTGCTTTGTTCGTGTGCTGTGTTATCTTTGACATGTGGAACATCTCTATCAATCAACACCTCGAGTAAATATTCATAACTGATGCACCGTTCAGTTTCCCTTGGTGAATAATGCAGATCCGATTTTCACTGCCGTTCCGAACTGACTCATCAAGGGACTTTAAGGTCACAAGCAAATGATTTAAAACAGTGTGTTTGCAGGATATGCCTGCTTTTTCAAGTCAAGGAGATCATAGCCTGTCAGAGTAGAAATGTTACAAGACAGTCAACAGTTATATACCCCGTGATGAGTAAAAGGAGTGAAATTGGCAATGAGGCGTAAGGTTTCTCGTGTCAAATCGGGTAAAAGTCTGCATCTTTTTTTAAGCACAACCTCCAGTGTCACTTTGTCACAGCTTCTCTCAACTTTCTGGCTACGTGGCCTCTTAAATCGGCAAAAACTATGATACATATTTGATTGTCTGAATCAGCCCTGCTTCCTTGAATATCAAACCAGAGAGAAACTGTCACCCACGCTAGGCCTTTAAATCCGAACCTGAAAGCAAAACTATTTTTTCCAACTTCAGCTGCTATTTCAATAGTGATCAAGAACAGAAAGATTTTCGAGGTCAGGTCTGCTTGTAAAATGTTCAGGTGAGCCTCTACCCAAAGGGAAAAAACCTAATTGGTGAGCTTGAAAGAGTTACTTAAATTACCCGGTGAACTGTGAGATCCTATAATGTATCATGCATTTATCACGACAAGACCAACCTAAACTGAACGTGGAGTGTGTTGGTGTGTGTGTGTGTGGTAACAAATTACAGAGGAAAACACAATCATGCCATGACATTGCGACAGACAGCAGGTTTAAGTGTTAACCACCTCCTTCCGTGAAAAGTCAACAACAAACAGCTATTAGTTATTCATTATAATCACAATAAAAATCCCACAAACACCATCATAATCATATCCCTTTTCTAAACGTAGTTTCACTGTATGCTATTGAAAAAATGCAATGGGGAGGACAAGTCGCTGGTTGTGTTTAAAGCACAGTAAACAAAAGCTGTGACTTCTTTCTTTATTGCAAAGTTCTCCGAGTGACCAAAAGAGGTTTTACTGCAGTATGTTTTACACGCTAACCACCATAAATTACTTTGAAAATATGAGCAGAAAAATAGGATGAGTTAACACAACCAGCAGCAGTGCTTATTGTCTCTTACCCTCCCCATTACAACCCTGCCACACATCCATCTTTTTCAATACTCACAGAGGGGAGTTAGTGTTAATTAAAAAGTGCATCATGAATATGTTGCGATTAATAATAAAAGTAAACTTTTTTTTTTCCATAAATAACACTTTTTTTTCCCTCTAGTTATCAATAAACCTCTTATTATACAAGTCGAGTAGTCACACGATTCAAATCTGGCCCCTGGGATCTTGTTAATAAAGAATCCGGGAGCGACGCTAACGCTTCCTGAAATAAGGAAGCTGTGACCTGTCAATACAAAACAAGACTGACGGGTCAAATCCAAGAGGAAGATCGAGGAAAGGACTATAGCAGTGACCACACATAGCTATTAAGGACACAACACATGAACAGCGGCAAGGAAATACTTGCAGTACAGCCTGCTGTAGTAGACAAACTGAAAAAAAATGGGACATTTTAAGAATCAAGAGTCTCTGTGTGGGAAAAAGAATACCACTCTCGTGTCTGGACTGATGCGGGAGGTTTTCGTGTTTTTGTTTCATCGGTATGATCACACTGTAAATGTGTCACATTTTGGGAGTGCAGATGATGCTAACGTGGCATGTGTTTAAGCATACATCATTATACTCAAAATATGCAGTTAAGCTCTGTGTTACTTTTACAACCAAGAAAAAAAATACTACTGAACTCGCTGTCTTAATTTGTAGTTTTTTTCCTAGTCTCAAATCTTCTTACAGTGAATTTGCAGTTACTGGTGTGCATTATTTTTCCATTTTGTGCAGTAAATACAAAACTCTACCAAGCTAGAGATTGTAATGTCTATAATTGGATGTCTGCATACACATTTGGAGAAACTGTAAGATACTTTGATATATTTGCTAAAATATGATCAGCAAAGATCTGTTCATAATTTTGCTTTTTATTTGTTTTTATTAATGTAGAAATCAAAATCAAAAAAATGACTGAATAAAAGCTTGGTATTGTACGTTTCCCAGAGAATGTATGTACTAGTGTAAACCTTGTAGGAATCAAACTTCCCCAAAGCAAAAAAGCTCCTTTTTTGGGGGACAGAAAAAGTCCAGGCTGGCAGCATTTCAAAAGCTTACCCATTCACACGTTACACTTTTGTTAAATCTGTAATAAAAGACAAATTTAAACACTTTAGACACTTATGATCAGAAGGTTACGTTCTGCAGCTTGAAAGTTGGAGCTTCCACAATTTATGCTACAAGGCCAGCTCGGCTGCTTGCGCTGCAATAACAGACATAAAAGTGGCATCAATTTTCACACTACTAAGACAGACGATAAACTAAACAAATCCTGACTGCTTGACCCTAACGCTGGGGGGGATCCAGACGCTCTGAAATGATGTGTGGGGTAATTTGCTGGTAGGTTTGTGTTTACTTGTCCCCTTAGAGAGAAGGGTAATTTATAATCAAGACATTAAAAGATCGGCTTTTTTGGGAACAACAGTGCCCCTGATACTCAGGGAATGAGGAGGCTCACTTACTGGTTCGATACAGCTAAAAATTGTGATTCTAAGCATCTGCTATGGCCTTTCCATCCACCTGTTTGATAACTATTATGGATCGGTGGATGGCACTTTGCACTGCTGTGGTCAAAGCATCAATCGGTTTTCTATTCATTTTTCTCTGTATATTTTTCCTTTTCTGTCTTTCTCATAATCTACCACAGGTTAAGTAGTTTCACTGTTCATGTGCTGCACCTTCAAACTTTAAATGGCTGACATGAAGATTCTCACTTTGGTCTTCTGCCTGGGGTGAAACACAGATGAAAAAAGGAAGACCTTAAATGGTCCTGAAAATACAGGACACCAAAGCTTTCTCTGTCAGTGACTGCAGGGCATCGGATGGACTTTACGTATGCTGATGGCTGCAGTCAAAAGACCTCATTCCCATTCGTTGATGATGGATTTGCAAAATATTGGATGGCTACAAACTAACCGGACTGACATTTTTCCAGACTGCTGTGCATATTTGCAACTTTTTAAACCCATATGAAAGTAACTAGCTAACATGAGCCACCGTGTCAGTGTTTTAATCGCATTTACAGTCACACGACCACTCAGTGGCAGGCCTTCATCCCGGTCAAGTATGGCGAGTCTTGCCGGCACATCCCCATTTGCTGCTGTTGGTGCTCTTGAAGATCCGAGGCCACACCATCGACAAAATCGGGGACAGGTAGCCCTGAGAGAATCATGACTGACTTGTTCCAGATCATGAAAGTGGGTACAACAGGTAGGAGGAAGGAGATTTCAAAGGTGTGGATATGCTGGGAATTCATGGCATCGTAAAAGGACAGCGAATTGTTGTCGTAGTCCAGCAGGACACCCAGCCGCCTCAGCTGCAGACTCGCCTCCACCAGCATCTCCTTACCATCGTGCCGCACCATAAAGTTGCTGTTGCAACGTGAGAACACCCACGAGGATGAGTTTTTGCCGCTCCATTCGTTTTTTGGGGCTGATTTGTAAGCCACGCCGATGGCATACCTGCAGGGAAAGCACATTTTGGAACACATTACTGATCTGAAGCAAGTGTCCTCCTTAATGACTTTACTTACACAGTCAGGCTACCTCATGCTGAGGACACACAAGATACACGTAGCCCCTTTGGGTTTTTTGTGCATGAAAAAGGTCTACTTCACAGCCAATTAGTGAAAAGAATATAATTAGGATAAGAGTATACACTGTGTGTGGTGTGTGTCTGTTGTGTGTGTGTGGGGGAGGTTGCGTAACAGCCTAGATTTAAACTCCCAAAAGAAAGATATTTCAGTTTATCAAGCCTCCTTGCAGGCTTGTATAATGCACTTGTGCGTACGTGCAATTCTTACCATGTGGATGCTCCGAGTAGCACCTCCCAGTAGTGACACCCGCTGTCAATAAAGACATTACCAGCAGCTCCATAGGAGCCTGTTCCGCTGAAGCGCTCCGGGGTGTGGCTCTTCTTCAGCGAGCTCTCGTCCTTCTCCATGGTCAGGCAGTCGTTGGACAGACGTAACTTCTTGTGGGCTGTTTTTGGGTCCAACTTGAAAGGTTGACCTGGGAGGAGATATAATTACGTGCTGTTACTGTATGTAATAATAAAAATGCCGTCATCATTAAATTCCAAATCTTCATGAATGGCACACAAACAAAGATGTGACCTGAGATGTTTAATTATTACCTCGATAATGCTGAAATATTATAACTGGGTAGGTTAAGTGCTCATTTCTAATGTCATTTTTAATACAGATATATCACGGTTATATTTATGACTATGATTATTACTAGCAGTGACAGCTGTACATGGTGTAACAGTAACAGATGGATAAACATATCTGTATTTATAAATGATACACAAAGGAGGAGTAATCTTATATAAATTAAGAATTAAGCACTTGCTAATACCTTATAAATACCTTATTAATGCTTAATAGTGTGACATTATTATACAGCGTTAGTTATTCCTGTAATGAAAACCCAAATACAGAAGCTCACTGTGCACATTTTTAGGTATAACATGCTCATTTTATACTACAGCTTTCAAAATAGTGTCCAGGTGTTGTTTGACTTAAATTGCTTTGTTTACTTTATTCTCATGAATGAATATATTTATTGGTTGTAGAGCTGTGGGTGTTATGGGAAATGTATTTTTGATTTGTAATAATTCCACCAATGTTGACCTCAAACTTATCGATTGATACGGCATACTAGAACGTGTGTTTGTTTAGTGCATTAGCTCTGCGCGTGGATATAAACAGAACCAAAACAGGAGGGGGATTATTATATGAGAGACACATCAGGAGGATTAGGTGACAGCCAAGGCAGAGAATGAAGAGATTGCTTCATCTTTTCTGTTCTCAACTGCAGGCATGCTACTGGTGTGGAAGCCAAGATTTTTGGCGAAATACACAGTGTATCTGTGTGTAACAGTTTTTGTTTTCATCAAGAACATGTTCAGTGTTGGTGCAAACATCCTGTGTGAAAATAAAGAAGGCAAATAACTGCAGAGAAATGGCTTCATACAGCCCATTAAGTAATGATTGAGTAATGGTTAGTTATATGCTCATGCTGCTTAAGCTGATTAGCTGTATGGAGCTGGTAATATGTGGTTAAAGTGTGCAAGTCTGGTGAATGTTGCAACGTTTGAAAATGGTTCAGGTACACAGTGTACTGGAAATATATGAAAATATTGCAAGGTGAGGGATCCAATCATGATCAAGTGATCATGGCTGACTATTTTATTTTTTAGTTCCTCCGTGTTTTAGGTCCCACTGAGAAATAAACTAGGAGACGAACCAGAACTGTGCCTCCAAAATTGACTTACATGTTGCTTACACCTGCACTCCTCACAAAGCTTAACTGACAGTGTTTTTAGTCCGGACTTCAGGTTAAAACACACCCAAGCTCATTTTTGGTCTCCACCATCTCTTACTAAAATATTCTCTCTTTCAGCTCTTTAATGCTTCTGTATGTTCACCTGCTAGTTTCTGATTGTGTGTCTGCCATTGTTTTTTTTCCACTCAAGCTTGTGAAGTGAAAGAGGCCGGCGATGCCACAAGATAAAAGGAAGAAAGAACCAAAAATAAGAATAAAACGAGAGGAAGATTTCAACCCAGAGCAGCAACAGCAGAAAACAAATAGAAAGCGGGGTGAGAAGTGCTTGCAGAGAACTCACAGGGGGAGACACAAGAGGAGAATGTTTGAGATACAAGGGCGAGAGTCTAAACTTCAAAGCTTCTCACAGCCTTTGGTGAAAACATTTCGTAACAGTGGAGGAAGCCACCCGGCATTTTCCTCTGTGCCTCCAATCACACAGACTTGGAAATTAGCTGAAGGAAATAGCCTTCACTTCCACCACGATAGGTAGCGGTTGGGGCTTTTCAGTGGAAATGTTACTACCCGGCTGCAACAATTCAGTTTGCAATGGCACCAGTAATTTGGGTGTAATGGGTGGAAAATTGGGAGGGCAAAACTAGGTGAGTGGCAGAGAGAGAGAGGAGCTATGGAGCGAGAAGGAGAAGAGAAGTTGAGGGGATAATATGAGACTGAAGATTGAGCAGAGGATCCCCTCTCAACCTCTCAATGTGTGTGTGCGTAGGCTTCATGGAAGTCAGCCACATCCCTTCCAGACCTGACATTTAACTCTGACACCTCTCATCTCATCTCTCAGCCTCCCTGAGCCTCCCATGGCTTAATGAGCGACACAATGAGGACCCGGACTCCGCCTCCCCTCTCTCTATCTGCCCTTGCCTTCATCTCTCTTCCCCCCATTCTTTCATTCTCATCCTCTCTATCCTCTCTCCACTCTCACACACTCCCCTCTCCAATAATCTGCGTGGTGAGTGTGTGTTACCGCATGTGGATATGAGACGACGAGGCCAATGCGCTGCTGGCAGCCAATTACATTAATGCGCTCTCTTCTTTGAACTGCTTATCGCTGCCAGCGCAGCCATTTCCAAACACTGGGGCTCTGTCATGCCTTTCCAGGGGATGACTCCTGAGAGCCCAGGCTGGGCCCGAGGTTCAGGAAGGGGAGACGCATGTGACGGTAGAGGACAAGCAGGCCCGTACACAAGGCATCAACTAGAGCCTCTCCAAGAAGCAGACATGCCGTTCAGTAAATTGCCAAGAAGAAATGTTTTGAACCGGGGCCAGCGGGATTCTTGTAAATGGACAAAGCCTGAAATAATCAGTTTTCACCTAAACTGTGAGTTTTTTGGCATGATCTCACTGCAAATAAAACTATCAAAATGGACGGTACAACTGAAATAACCCATGAATATGTCGAATAGCTGGAAGGTTTAGAGACTAAACTGTTACAAATTTGAAAAAAAAAAAAAAAAAAATCGCCTGCAACTTGTAACCACTGCCCAAGTTTTCATTTCCTGTTTTAAGGCACCTGCAAGCCATGTCTACTCCCAGAATGAGTCATAAGTCTGTCACTGGTGAAAATGAGCCCAATACATTTCTGTGCTGAACATAGAAATTTAGCAACTTGTACTTTAGCGTTTTCATTTTATGAAGCCGTTCTACATTACTATTCATACATCAGTACTTTAACTTAATGCTGAATGTCGGACAAACCTACACGCAGTGAGGAATGTTCTACTGTGTGAAAGTTCTTCTTTTATTTAAGTTAAAGATTTGAGTACTCAGTGCGCCGCTGAAGCTTCTCCATGTTGCAGAGCCGCCATGAAATGAACAGACCCAGAGTCACAGCGAGTGTGCTGGTATTTGCTAGCAGCACTTGGAGAACATGCCAAATTTGATTTCTTCTGGAGTGCTGTACTCCTGGCCTAAAGGTGTAAATAAGTCATGTGTGGAGTTCTACATTAGGAAGAAGACCGTTTCAAAATAAGAAAGTGAATGTTTACTTCAAAGAAAGTTCTTACATCAGCTACCTTTAGAAACCACACAGGCATGCCCCCACACAAATAAAACTCTTGACTAAAAATATGCATATTGCTGTCAGATTCTAGAGCCAAAACAATAAAGACGAGATGGGGGAGCAGCAAATCTCAGAGATGTAATATCCAAGCGGTAACTGTGATTAGCGTGCTTCAGCCTCTGCAGAAATACTCAGCGATATCTGTGTCTGCAGAGATAATCGCTCTACGTTAGACTGCCTCAGAGCTGTGCATTGTTACGTACTTGCGAGTCTTTAATGGAACCTTGTAAAACATGAAATTGTATCAAGGAAAAAAAGAGAGGAGAGAAATAAAAGAGACAACTGTTGGGGGAGCATTTATAAAAAGTAATTTCATTCCAACTTCATTCTGCTGGGTCTTTGCTGAAGTAGTTGCAGTGGGGCAGCATCTGGGTAATCGACTTTATTTCAATTCAGTCAATTTCACCCACACTTCTTCTTTTTCCTGGCTTCCATTTTTGCTGAGGGAAAGATTGGGTTGCCTCCATAATAAAGGAGATCCATTTTACTACATAACTAAAACAATTACTCCAGTAGAAACAGCAGCATCAGGGACACCGAGCGAGCTCTCGTAACACAGCAGCAGCATAACGCAACCTTGTATCCTTCCACAGGTTTTTACATTTGTTTAGAAGTTGCCAACTGGCAGCGTGCCGTTTTTCTTCTAATTGTCTCGTTCATATGTGACGTGGCGTCGAATCCAGCTGTGCTGACTACTTTCATCTGTCTGAGATACAGAGGTACACTGGTGAGATTAGAAATGCAGCAGCCATGTAACACGGACGGGGACATCCAATAACACTGCATGGGTAATTAGGTGCTCAGCATGACTTCTTGGCATCGAGAGTGTTTATGTGTCACATCCTCTCTTTTCAGTCCTTCCTGGGCAATTTTTGGCTCTTTCTACAAAACTTCTCCAAAAACTGGAAAAGTCTTTGTGTAGTGAAAAAGCAAAGACAAACAGCAGTCCTTGATCTTCTGCAGTTTCACCCTTTAACGAACTAGGCAAAGTCTTCAGAGACCAGTGCTAGAAAAATAATATTCAGTAAGGCTTCTGGGTCTGCTTAGAATTTCACTGTGACTAAGAAGCCATTTTTGGAAAGGAAGCGTCTGTGATGGTTCGTTAGAGTAAAAGCATGTGAAAGACTGCCTCCCCCCCCCCCCCCCCCCCCCCCCCCCCTTTCTTCCAGCGAGATTCTTTCTCAGGGCTTTTGCTTGTGTGTGTGAAATGTAATCATTCACTAAAACAAAGCCACGCTCTCGGTATTCCCTCTTTTGTTGTGTCAATTCACATAAATGTGCTGCACTGCAGGAAAAAAAATAGCAAATGTATCAAAGGGTACTTGAAAGCATGGTTTTATTATGAAGCTTTCCTTGGTGAGATGCTGATCGTTCTAGCTTCCAGCGTTCACATTCAGTTTGCAGTCTGGCATTTTAACACAACCCCAATCGCCCCCCTCCACCTGCTGGCATTTTCACCAGCTGAATTAATGAATTTCAGCGAGCAACTATAAGAAAAAACTCTGCCAGCCTCAAAAATACAAATGACAAAACATGGTCATATACTATACTGCAAAAAGTAAATCACTGAATTCCGGTGTTCCAATCACTTGCATGGCCACAGGTGTAC